GAAAATAGTCTACGAAAACCAAAATTTTGAGTTTGGGAGTCGATTACGTGTGAGGAAGGTATTAGCACCTCACAACGTTCGTCCTAAGATGATTACCTTTAATTAGTTAAACTAATTATTTATAATTTATAAAACATTTATCTCACTAAAATGATTAAATATATTTTATTAAACTAATTTAACTAATGCATAAATACTTGTCATTTGCATCACCAAAAGTTTGGTCCATCCCTAACTCATGCATTCAAGTTCAATACATGCTTAGCATCCACAACATTTGTACCAAAGTTCGGTACTTATCATGCACATGTGATCAAGTAATGTACTTGCATAACACATTCATTAAAGTTTATTATTTACTTGGCATCAACATTGTTTCTATCAAAATTCTCACTTTCATGTTTCGGGTAACCGCGCCCATGTTTTTTATCTTTCGAGCCCCTACGCTCACTTTTTTATGATTCGAGCCCCCGTGCTCACTTTTTAATGTTTCGGGTCTCCGCGCCCATGTTTCGAGCCCCCGTGCTCACTCTTTAATGTTTCGGGTCCCCGCGCCCATGTTTTTAATCTTTCGAGCCCCCGCGCTCGCTTTTATATTTCGGGTCCCCGCGCCCATGTTTTGAGCCCCCGCGCTCGCTCTTTTATGAATCGAGCCCCCGCGCTCACTCTTTCATGTTTCGGGTCCCCGCGCCCATGTTTTAATCTTTCGAGCCCCCGCGCTCACTTTTATGTTTTGGGTCCCCGCGCCCATGTTTTGAGTCCCCACGCTCACTCTTTTATGATTCGAGCCCCCGTGCTCACTCTTTAATGTTTCGGGTCCCCGCGCCCATGTTTTTAATCTTTCAAGCCCCCGCGCTCACTTTTATGTTTCAGGTCCCAGCGCCCATATTTTGAGCCCCCGTGCTCACTCTTTTATGATTCGAGCCCCCGTGCTCACTCTTTCATGTTTCGGGTCCCCGCGCCCATGTTTTTAATCTTTCGAGCCCCCGCGCTCACTTTAGATCTTTTTTTGAAGGTTGGAACGGCCCGTTCCGGGCTAGAATTTATAGTTGTTTTTGGAAGGTTGGAACGGCCCGTTCCAGACTAGAAATTATAGGTCTTTTTGGAAGGTTAGAACGACCCGTTCCAGTTGTTAAAATCATGTGAAAATTATTAAATTACCCTCCACAAAAGTATGAAAATTGAGGTGTTACATTTGGCTTTTATATTTTTATCTTTTTTATTCTTTCTTGTACATACCTTTTTTTGTTATTTTATTTTTTTTAACAAAATTGACATTTCTCGGACGAAATTGAGTTACTACACCCTTCTATTATTAAAAAAAAAGTAGCTACCATTTCACTTTTAATAACTATTTATTTTACTATTTTATTTCTTAACTACTTTTTTTACTTAATAATCTTAATTTTTATTTTATTTTAAAATTTTAAATAAAATATAGAAATACCTTGACCTCATTAATAATAATAATAATAATAATAATAAAAGTTTTTTTTTATTATAAAATAATAATAAGAGATATCTATTTATCTATGTATATATATATATATATTATTTTTTCTTATAATGATTTTTAAGTTGTTAATATATTAAATAAAGGTTGATAATTTCTAATTTTTTTAAATAAATAGCTGAAAATCATAATTGAAGTAGAATATGATAATATTAGATAAAAAAATGCTAATTGTAAGAGAAATGATATCTAAATTGTACAACATATATCTACAATATTCTATAAAAACAAAGGATATCAATATCTACAATGCTGGTTTCAATTGAAATGTGTCTCACTATGATTAAAAGTTAAAAATTAGATTATAAAAAAAATTTAAAAAAAATATTTATTTGCACACTCACTTCATCTAAAGAATATCATGTAATCTATAATTACACTTATTTAAATACTATTCACTGTTATGTACTATAAATAAGTATTTATTGTACTAAAATAAATTGAGTTAATTATATTAATTTTATTAAATATTTATGATTACCATAATTTGACATTGAGTCGGACAATATAACAAATAGTCAAGCAATGAAAATTAAATTATTACTTATAATCAAGTAGATATGTTATATTATAGAATTTTGAGATGTTTTTTTTTAGTAAAGCATATTATAAAAATATATAATTTTTTAAGGTCCTTTATTATAAATTTTAGAATATTATGTAGATCATATTTAAAAAAAATTAAACTGATATTTAATAAGTCATGGATACTAAATTTTAATATTTAAGTATAATATTTCATATCAATCGATAGTAATGATATTTAATTACTTATATACTATGGTTCATTATAATTTTTAATGAATAAAAAAATTAATTATATAATTTTCATTATATAAAATTGATGATAATAACTAATTACGCACTTATCTCTTGATTTATTACAGATATTATATTAAATTTTCTCTTTTATTATAATTAAGTTTAATTATATATTTCTTTCGTTTCTTATTATAAGTTACTTTTAATTAACGACTAAAATTGTATATAAATATATATATATATATATATATATATATAATAGATTTATATTTATATATAATATATCTATATTATATAGTGATACTTACATTTTTTTATATATTATTATATGTAATATTTTTTTATGATTTTTATACTTTAATATCAATAAAAATGATAAATGTTAAATTGAGAGAATTTAAGAATGGGAGAGAAAAACACAGATTGTCACCATTTTTAATAGAGACAAATAAAGAAAAAAAAATAAGTTAATAATTTTTAAAAATTATAATATGCCTTAAAATAGGATAAAGAATTTCTTCTAAATATGCCTTATAATTTTGAAGTAATTTTCTTTTTCCAAAATGTAACTTTTATATTGTACTTTATACTTATCAGCATTATTATCAATATTTTATTATTAGATGCATTTTATAATATAAAATAAAAGGTATAAATATAAAATAAAAACTATCTATATATTTTTTACCTGATTTATATATAATTAATTATATGTCTAATTTTAATTCACCATTAATTATAATTACTTTTTAATGAAACTTAGTAATAATATGTTTTTAACCTTAATTTTGAGCCATGAAATTTTTTCAGAATTATTCCTCATTTGGACATACATTTTTTTAGAAGGGAAAACAATTCAAATTTTAACAATTAGTTAATATTTGAAACTTGAAATCAATTAGTTGATTAATATTTAAGATAAAAAGTATTATAATAATAATTATGATTAGGCAAATTCTGGAAATAATGATTATTATATATTGACGCGTTTTTATTAAAAAAATATTTTTGTAATGTATTAAAATGTCCGAATTTGGTTGAAATTTTTCAGAGAAAAAACTGCTTAACGACTTTAAATAATAAAATTAATATATAATTATTCATTATGTCTAAATTCAATTCACCATTAATTATAATTACTTTTTGAATGAATTTTTAGTAATCATATGTTTTTAATTACCTTAGTTTTGAGCCAACAAATTTTTTTAGAATTATCTCTTATTGGGTAATGAAAAACTAATTCAAATGTTAACAAATTTATACAATAAAATAAGATAATATTTTTAAATAAAAAATATTTCAAATTTTAAATTAATTAGTTAATTAATATTTAAGTTAAATATATTTTTAATCTCTCAAATTTAGAGTAAATTAATTTGTTTCTAATTTCTCAAATTTAAAATTATTTTTTTATTTTTATAATTTTTAAAAATTTTATTTTAGTTTATCATATCACTAATAACATATTTGAAATTGATAGAATACAATAATACAAGATTAATTGGGTTTAATATAATATTTTCATTAACAAAGGTACTAGTAGGTAAATTTTATACACCAATATTTAACAAATTTGCTAAAAAAATTTGAGTACAAAATACTAAAATGAAATATTTTAAAATTATAGAAACTTAAAAAGATCAATTTTAAATTTAAGAGACTAAAAATAAATTTACCTTAAATTTGAGGAATTAAATACATATTTAAGAGAGAAAAATATGAAAATGATAATTATGATCACACAAAATTTGAGCAAATTATTATTATTATATTGATGCATTTTTTATTACAAAAATATTTTTATAACTTACCCTAATTTGGGTGAAATTTTTTTGGGGGGGAAATTACTCTAATAAGGGACATTTCATAGATAGATTTTTTTTATGCTTGAGAATCAATTCTAGGAATCATGAAAATTTATTTGATTAGTTAATAAATAAAGACAACATAACATTTTTTTTGCATTAAAATTTTATTTTTACCTCGGAAAAATTAGTTTTCACCTCTTCCATTAAAATAATTTTGTGAAAAATTTATGCAAAAAATCATATTCAAAAAATAATATTTCTTTAGAAATATTATTTTTTAAATAACAAACCAAACATAGAAAATTAACATTCTATTTGTAAAATTTTCAAGAAAGTAAAAACTTTTCATATATCAAACGTGTCATAATATCAACAACTTTATATAATAAGATAAAATTACATCTTTTAATATAATAAAATATTTGAAATTAATTAGTTAATTAATATTTAAGAGAGAGAAATATGACAATAATAATTATGATTATGAAAATTGTGTAAATAATAATTATTATGTTGATGTATTTTTTAATTATGAACATATTTTCATAATTTAATAAGATAAAACTTTAATTAAGCCTAAAAATATATTTGAATTACTAAAAAAAATTAAAATAGACTGGAAAAAGGTTAACTTATTCAAGTTTCAGACATCTAAGAATCTTGGTGTAAAATAAAAACACATCTAAGAATCGTTTCCTTTATTTTACAAATGGAAAATAATAACTTTATTTTTTATTTTTATTTTTATTTTCAGCAAAATAGCCTCAACATTGAGATTTCGTCTGCATTTGACTTTTTGACCTTAATTTCCATAACTGCCCCAGTGCCATGGTCCCAATTCAACGCAAGAAATATATTGGCACATAATATATACACTGTATATATGCTCCCTTGGTGTCTCCTCAAAAGGGCTCTTTTCTCTAGTATTAATTAATCCCTCTATGATCTAAACCACTCTAACACAAATCAATACAGCGTACCCATATTTTGGTTTGGTGAATTTTTGCTATACACAAATGGGAACAAAAAGGGGCTATTCCCAAGTGAATGTTTTGTTTGAAAGGTTGATGAGGAACTTGTCATTGAAAGTGAAGATCTTTTTGGGGGCATTTCTTGCTGTATGTGCTATCGTGGTCATAAGGTTAAGCATGCAAAATTTCTACTTTTTCTTCATAGCCTCCGAAGTAGTCCATGCTGTAGGGATAATTGTCCTCGCATACAAGCTTTTCGCCCTCAAGACCTGCTCTGGTACGTTTTCTTTAATTTTCCTCATTCATCACTATTTATAATTTCATAATTATTAATTGATTGCTGATCTTAATTTTAAGAAAGAAATCGTATGCCGTCATTTTCATCTTCGGACATACCAAAAAGGTGGCCTTTTTATTTTAAATTAGGGAAGGGACTGTGTTGGGTGTATTTTTGTTTTCTATAATTTAGAGAAAATTGTCTGGCATGGGTTAATTAGCATAGTTGTAGATTGTGGTTATGGTTGTGATACCGGAAGTTGTGTCTTGCTCTATTGCAAAGCAGATTGCAAGAGAAATTATTATATGTTTGTAAAAAAATACAAAACAAAAAAAATTTGTTCATGACTATAGTGTACAAAGTATCACAATTAAAGATTTACTTGTCCTTACCGAGCATAATTTTTATTTATCAAATATCATTTTAACATTGAGAATAATTGATCTTATAAGTACTAAATCAATCTTTCATGTCTCGAAAGTTTAGTTTTTCTTTTACAATTTTTTACCCTACCCTAAGTAGCTTCTTGACACTCGACCCAACAACTATTAATTACTTCCCTTCCCTAACTTCTCCTGTGACTATACCATTAGTATAAAAGGTTTAAAATTGAATCTGCGTTCATTTTTGAAAGAAAAAAAAGGAATTGAAAAGTGTTGCAACTCTATTATGTGTTTAAGTTATAATTAGAAAGTTAAGCTGAATTTAACTTAATTTTTAAAATCAATTGTATGTCAAAAAAGTGCAACAACCTTTTAGTTTTCAATTCATCAATTGCAATTTTCTTGTAATTCATACTCAATGGAATGAAAAAAAAAATAAAAAATGTCCAACATGTAGATACTGTATTCAAGATTAACTAAAACCAACAAACTAAGGTTACAAATTTTTAATATGTAATCAAACATGGCCTTATTGTAGCTTCATTGTGATATTTCTTGTGATTGAATTTCACGTCGCAATTAAGAGCGGGTG